CTTGGACCATCTCGGGCGGACTTGGAGGCCATCTTGGGCCATCTTCGCGATTTTTTGAGGATGTCCCGAGCGAAACGGCCGTTTTTGCGCACGGTGGCGGGTTCTTCCGGAGCCCACTGGGGAGTTCTTTTGGAAAAAGAACCAAAACCAAAACCTGACAGCTCGTCCAGCACGCCGTGCACCCCTGCAAGCAGGGGGCGGCGGATACATGTGGCCTTCGGCCCATCCCGCCACCGTGCTCAGGTAGTGGGTCAGAGGGCTCTTGGCACCTCTTTGGGCCAGTTTGGGCCCGAGCAAAGTCATGTGGGACGACGCCCTGGGCGCGCTTGAAGCCCTGGGAGATTTGAGAATTTGGTGACCTGGCCCTTTCACATATTTTCAGGATTGAGGACTGAGGCTCAGGGGATTGAGCAAGGCACCTGAGGACACTCCAACTCGTGCCTCGCAGGCACGGTGGAGGATTTTATATAGCTGTGTGTATCGGAGGTGAGGGGTTGCGATCGAAGTGGAACGGAGAGCCCCCCTATACCAGGAAATCGGTTTCGGTTTCGTGTCCGTGCGTGCCGTGCGTGCGGGCGAGGCGAAGCTGCGTGGGCGGGCGAGAAGAAAGTCTCCTCCAGCTGAGGCGCGGCCGGACCAACTGTTTCCTTTCCGGGGGCCGGTGGGGCGCGGTGTCCCGCCGGTGTCCCGCCTCCGGCTGAGGCGCGGCCGGACCAAATGTTTCCTTTCTGGGGGCCGGTGGGGCGCGGTGTCCCGCCGGTGTCCCGCCTGTGTCCCGTCGGTGTCCCGATGACGATGATGATGATGATGATGATGATGATGATGATGATGATGATGATGATGATGGTGTCAATGATGTTGATGATGATGATGATGGTGCTGGTGGTGATGACGGTGTCCCGATGATGATGATGATGATGATGATGATGATGATGATGGTGATGATGATGATGATGTTGATGATAATGATGATGACGATGTTGACGATGATGATGATGATGGTGATGATGATGGTGATGATGATGGCCATGGTGGTGATGATGATGGTGTCCCGATCATGATGATGTTGATGATGCTGATGTTGCTGATGATGATGATGGTGTCCCGATGATGATGATGATGATGATGATGATGATGATGATGATGATGATGATGATGATGTTGATGATCCTGATGATGTGGATGATGATGAGATGATGATGAGATGATGAGATCATGCTGATGATGGTGATGATGATGAAATGATGATGATGGTGTCCCGATGATGGTGATGATGAGGTTGATGATGATGCTGTTGATGATGATGGTGATGATGATGGTGTCCAGATGATGGTGATGTTGATGTTGATGATGATGATGATGACGATGATGGTGTCCTGATGATGATGTTGATTCTGAGGATGATGATGTGATGATGATGTTGATGATGGTGGCCCGATGATGTTGATGATGATGATGATTATGATGATGATGATGTGGATGATTTTGACGATGATGGTGTCCCGAGGATGATGATGCTGGTGATGATGATGATGATGATGATGATGATGGTGTCCCGATGATGATGATGATGATGATGATGATGATGATGATGATGATGTTGCAGATGATGATAATGGCGTCCGGATAATGATGATGATGCTGATGATGTTGTTCATGATGATGGTGAGATGATGATGCTGATGATGATGGTGTCCCGATGCTGATGCTGATGATGATGATGGTGTCCCGATGATGATGATGATGATGATGATGATGATGATGATGGTGATGATGGTGACGATGATGGTGTCCCGATGATGATGGTGATGATGTTGATGATGATGGTGATGAGGCGATGATGATGATGATGATGGTGTCCCGATGAAAGCGGTGATGATGATGATGATGATGATGATGATGATGATGATGATGATGATGATGATGATGATGATGATGATGATGATGATGATGATGATGCTGATGATGATGATGATGATGATGATGATGATGATGATGATGATGATGACGTTGATGACGATGATGTTGATGATGATGATGACGTTGATTTTGAGATCGATTGTGAGATCGATTGTGAGATCGATAGTGAGATCGATAGTGAGAGCGATAGTGAGATCGATAGTGAGATCGATAGTGAGATCGATTGTGAGATCGATAGACAGATCGATTGTGAGATCGATCGAATGAAATAGATCGAGTGAGATCGACTGTGAGATCGATCGAGTGAGATCGATCGAGCCAGACCGATAGTGAGATCGATAGTGAGATCGATAGTGAGACCGATCGAGTGAGACGTTGGTTTCTCCCCCCCCGAACCTCCTTATCACCCGAAGGGTGGTCGTGCAGGTATAAATATATATGTATATATGTATATATATGTATACATATATGTATATATATATATATATACATACATACATACATATATATATATATATATATATACACGCATGAATCTCCATTGGCACGAGGCGGCGGGGGGGGCCCGGGAGGGACCCTTGACGCTCCATGGGGGGACCGGGCCGCCAGGGACGCCCCTAGACCGCCCAAGACAGCCCCAACACAGATGAAAAAGGCCGCGAGATGCCTCCACGAGGCCCACAGTCGCGGAAATATTGTTCTCACACGCCCAAGATGGCTTCCAGATGGCCCACAAGGCTTCCAACACGGCCCAAAGGGGTCCCCAAGAGCACTCCTTCAATGGCCCCAAGAAGCCAAACTCATTGATTATCCTTAGGTTATTGTGCATTTTAGCGTGCCAGGCCTCCTCAGGCGCCCATGGCGGCCCCAAGAGGGGGCCAGGACAAGGTGGAGCGTTCCCGAGGGGCCCCAAGAGGGGGCCAGGAGGGCCCCCAGAGGGCCCCGACAAGGCCCTATGACGCATGTACATGGGTGCCCCTCTCGCAAGCCCAAGAAGCATATCAAGTACATGCGGTTTGGGGCCCTCTTGGGGCCCCCTTGGGGCGCTCTTGCGGCCCTCTTGAGGCCTTCGGGCTCCTTCAAGACAGGACCGGGTGCATTCTGCCACAGAAGGGCCTTTCGTGGCAGAATGGTGGGCCCGCGTCTGGCAGCGTTCTGGGGCCCTCTTGTAGCCCTCTGGGGGCCCTCTTCGTGCCCTCTGGCACGACGGCCCCCAAACGGCCCCAAGACGGCTCAGAGCCGCCCACTAGAGCGCCCCGACGGCCCGAGCGGATCCGCAGCGAGCCCCAGGGCGGCCCAAGAGGCCCCGACAGGCTAGAAGCTCCCAAGACAGACGGCCTCGAAGTGGGTTCCAAGAAGAGTCCTGAGAGCCCGCACAAGCAAGAATCGTCCCAAACCCCAGGGGAAACGTACATTTTCGCAATTCCAATGCTTTTCGTTTTCAAAGCGTCCAGAGGACAAATCACGCCACAGGACGCCTCAGGAGCGCCCCATGAGGGCCCCAAGACGGCCCAAGACGGCCCCAGGACGGCCCAATACGCCCCCAGGACCGCTCCTGAGTCGCCCACGACGGCCCAAGAGTCACCCAAGGCAGCCCCAAGAGCGGCCCAAGACGGCCCAAGACAGCCCCAAGACGGGCGTCCAAGACGGCTTCGGACGGCCCCAAGACGGCCCGAGGGGCAAGCAAGACGGCCCACGATGACCCCAAGAGGCCCCCAGGAGGCCGCAAGACGGTCCAAGGGGGCCCCGAAAGGCCCCCAGGAGGCCGAAAAGAAACCCCGAGAGCCCCTCAACCGGTTCCCAAGGGGAAGGAAGCGCCCGCCATCAGTGGCAGCATATGGCATAGGGAGCATTGCTCTCCTGTGTGGATGCGGGCGTGAGCTAAAAGAGCGCCGCATAATGAACAGCAACATGAGCACTACTTCCCTTTACTATTGCCTCCCAGTTCCAGGGCGCCCTTCGCCGCTGCCGCCCAAGTGAAGCGAGATACACCAGAGGCCTCCAGGGAGCGCATCCCCCAACACATTCTGATCCCAGAGGGGCGCGGAGACGGCGCCCGACAGGACGTGGCTCCTTGCGGGTCCACAGTGAGCTCCCATGCGCAGTCCACCGTGCGACATTTCGAGTGCCCTGGGGCAGCATCGATCTTTCCCGTGGGCACGAAGCAGAGAGCAGCAGCGGCGGCACAGCAGCAACAAGCAGCGGCAGGCAGCGGGTAGAAGCAAGGACCAAGCGGAACTGGCCATCGGCAACATTCTGCAGCCACAAGCAGCAAGACCACGCAGCAGCGGCCTCAAGCATTACCAAGAGTATGCAAAAGCGGCAGCAAGCAGCAGCACGCAGTAGCAAGCGCGGAATGTGAGGTCGGGCCCCACAATCAGATGCTAGTTCGTGCAGATATCGTGGACGGAGCCCACGGGTCAGTTCTACCGACGTCGCCAGCCTCCTTCCGGTGCTCACAACCCACGACGACCACCACCACCACGACAGCGACGCCGACAACGACGGGTACGACGGCGGCCTCGCGGCGGAGGAGGAAGAAGAGGAGGAGGAGGAGGCGGAGGAGGAGGAGAAGGAGGAGGAGGAGGAAGAGAAGGAGGAGGCGGGGGGAGGGGATGGGGGAAGGCTGCGGAAGGTGCGAGGAGGAGAACAAGCATACGGAGAAGTTGGGAGCTCAGCACCCGCAGCGAGTTCATGGCCATCATCATCATCATTATCATCATAACCGCCACCATCATTATCCACATCATCATCATCATCATCATCATCATCATCATCATCATCATCATTATCATTATCATCACCGTCACCATCACCATCACCATCACCGTCACCATCACCATAATCATCACCAGCATCATCATCATCGTCATCATGCCATCATCATTATTCTTGTTCCCCGTCTCATTTTCGGTATCGTTGTCATTACAAGTATCATTATCATCCTCGTCCTCCTCCTCCTCCTAATCATCATCAGCATCATCATTATCATCATCATCATCATCATCATCATCATCATCACCATTATCATCATCATCATCATCATCATCATCATCATCATCATCATCATCATCATCCGCAGCCATGTTTGGCTCAAGTCATTTTGGCTCGAGAAATGTTCAGTCCAAGGTATTTTTGGCTCAAGCCGTGATGCCTTGTCTTTTCGGATGCTGGACATCGATCGAGGGTCTCGAGAAGGCGCTATTTCCCTCGAAGCGTCGATCAAGAACTGTGGTCGGACAAAGCAATGGAGCGCAGCACTGCGGTTGCTCCGCGAAGGAATTCGACTAGGTGTGCAGCTCGCCCCAGGCCATTACATTGCGACTGTCTGCGCATGCAGAAAAGGCGGGCTGTGGCAACACGCGCTGTCGGTACTGATCGAGATGTGGGAGGCGAAAGTGGAGCGCAACGTCATCTCTACTACATTGCAGGGCCCAGTGCGTGCCAGAATGGCGCAGGCCCCAATGCACCGAAACCGCCCCGGGCTGGCCCCGGGCCGCCCCGGGAGGCCCCAAGACGCGCCAAGGAAGCCCCAAGAGGCCCCCAAGACGGCTCCGGAGGGCCCCGGCACGCCCCAAGATGGGCCCAAGACGCTCAAGATTGGCCCAAGACGGCCCAAGAAGCCTCCCAGACGCCCCAAGAGGCTTCCCCAGAGGCCTCCCAAGAGGGCCCCGAGCGGTAGAAACCGTCGATTTCCATTGTGTTTTTCGATGGTTTCGGCCTCCTCGCCTTTTCGGCACCCCGACGCTCCAAGACGGGCCAAGAGCTCCCCCAGACCGCTCCAAGACGGCCGAAGGGGACCCCAAGACAGCCCCAAGACGGGCCAAGAGGGCCCCCAAGACGGCCCCACGGCGGCCCAGGACGGCCCCAGGACGGCCCAGGAGGCGCCCAAGACGGCCCAAGAGGCACCCAAGACGGCCCCAGGAGCGGCCCAAGACGGCCCAAGACAGCTCAAGAGGCACCGAGGCGGGCCTCAGGCGGCCCCGAGACGGCCCAAGAGGCACCCAAGACGGCCCGAGAGGGCCCTAAGAGCCCCCGGGAGGCCCAAAAGAAGGCCGAAGAGGCTCCGAAACGGCCCCCACGAAGCCTTCAGTGGCCTCAGAATTCCCTCCAGGAGCGGGGGAGCGGACGAGAGGCGACAGGCATATCGCAGGCAAAAACGCCCCAAGAGATCCCCAAACGGCCCCCACGAAGCCCTAAGTGGCCTCAGAATTGCTTCCAGGAGGGGGGGAGCGGACGAGAGGCGACCGGCATATCGAAGGCACAAAAGAACAATGTTGGACGCTCCGAGGGCCTTCGATGTTTCTCTGTTGGGGAGAGTCGTCGTAGGATCGACGATTGCCGACCGAGGGCATGGAGAATCCAGCGAAAGAGGAGAAGAAGGTGGAAGAGGAGGAGGAGGAGGAGGAGGCGGAGGAGGAGGAGGAGGAGGAGGAGGAGGAAGCAGCAGGACCTCCGAGCAGCAGCAGCAGCAGCTGATTGCCTTTCGGCCCTGCAGCCGCACCCCCCCGCGCTTGCCCAGAGACCCCTCGCCACGTCGAGCTGATGTCGTGGACGGAGTCCACAGGTCTGCCCTAGTCAGCTACAGTGCTGGGATCAGTGCGTGCGAGAAGGGCGAGCAGTGGCAGCGGGCCCTGGCGCTGCTGAGCGAGATGTGGGAGGCGAAGCTGGAGCCCAACGTCATTAGCTACAGTGCTGGGATCAGTGCGTGCGAGAAGGGCGAGCAGTGGCAGCGGGCCTTGGCGCTGCTGAGCGAGATGCGGGAGGCGAAGCTGGAGCCCAACGTCATCTCTACTACATTGCAGGGCCCAGTGCGTGCCAGAAGGGCGCATGCTCCAATGGGTCAAAACCGCCCCGGGCTGGCCCCGGGCCGCCCAGGCAGGCTCCAGGACATGTCGAGAGGGCCCCCAGAAGCCCCCAAGACGGCCCCGGAGAGCCCCGGTACGCTTGAAGACGGGCCCAAGACGCCCGAGAGTCGCCCCAGACGGCCCAAGAGGCGTCCAAGATGCCCGAAGAGGCCTCCCAAGAGGCCTCCGAAGAGGGCCCCGAGTGACAGAAATCGTTGATTTCTATTGTGTTTTTCGATGTTTTCGGCCTCCTCGCCTCTTCGGCTTCCCGACGCTCCAAGACGGCCCAAGAAGTCCCCCCGACCGCTCCGAGGCGGCCGAAGAGGACCCCAAGAGAGCCCCAAGACGGGCCAGGAGGGCCCCAAGACGGTCCCAAGACGCCCCAGGACGGCCCCAGGACGGCCCAGGAGGCGCCCCAGACGGCCCAAGAGGCACCCAAGACGGCCCCAGGAGCGGCCCAAGACGGCCCAAGACAGCCCAAGAGGCGCCGAGGCGGGCCTCAGACGGCCCCAAGACGGCCCAAGAGGCACCCAAGACGGCCCGAGAGGGCCCTAAGACCCCCCCGGGAGGCCCAAAAGAAGGCCGAAGAGGCTCCGAAACGGCCCCCACGAAGCCTTCAGTGGCTTCAGAATTCCCTCCAGGAGCGGGGGAGCGGACGAGAGGCGACAGGCATATCGCAGGCAAAAACGCCCAAAGAGATCCCCAAACGGCCCCCACGAAGCACTACGTGGCCTCAGAATTGCTTCCAGGAGGGGGGGAGCGGACGAGAGGCGACCGGCATATCGAAGGCACAAAAGAACAATGTTGGACGCTCCGAGGGCCTTCGATGTTTCTCTCTTGGGGAGAGTCGTCGTAGGATCGACGATTGCCGACCGAGGGCTTGGAGAATCCAGCGAAAGAGGAGAAGAAGGTGGATGAGGAGGAGGAGGAGGAGAAGGAGGAGGAGGAGGAGGAGGAGGCGGAGGAGGAGGAGGAGGAGGAGGGGGAGGAAGCAGCAGGACCTCCGAGCAGCAGCAGAAGCTGAGGAACACAGGAGAGCAGGAGGTCTTGGAGGGTGTGGAGAGCGCCTTCAACTCGCCACGTCGAGCTGATGTCGTGGACGGAGTCCACAGGTCTGCCCTAGTTAGCTACAGTGCTGGGATCAGTGCGTGCGAGAAGGGCGAGCAGTGGCAGCGGGCCTTGGCGCTGCTGAGCGAGATGTGGGAGGCGAAGCTTGAGCCCGACGCCATCAGCTACAATGCTGGGATCAGTGCGTGCGAGAAGGGCGAGCAGTGGCAGCGGGCCCTGGCGCTGCTGAGCGAGATGTGGGAGGCGAAGCTGGAGCCCAACGTCATCTCTCCTACATGGCCAGTGGAAGCGCGTGCGAGAATGTCTCAGGGCCTCGTCGCCCCTTTACGGCGCCACCACGGGGCCGAATCGCTCAGGCCGGTCCCAGAGGCGCTCCAGAGGGGTTCCCAGACCGTCCAAGAGCGCTTCAAGACGGCCTCAGTGGGTCCCGAGACGGCCCACGAGGGCCCCAAGCCTTCCGGGGGGGGCTCCACGACGATCCAAGAGGCCGCAGAGACGCCCAAAGATGGCCCCGAGCGCACGCCAAAGAGGCACAAATCGTCGAATTCCTATGTGAAAACGTCTATTTTCAGCATGCCCGCCTTGTGTGCTCCTCAGCGGCCCAGTACACGCCAAGAGGCCTCCCAAATCGCCCCCAGAAGTCGCCAGCGGCCCCTAAGAGGGCTCCAAGACGGCCCACAAGAGCCCCAAGACGACGCCAGAGCCCTGAAACAGCCTCACAGAACCCCAAGACGGCCTTAAGAGAGCTCCGAGGGGGCTTTAAGAGGCTCCCAAGAAGGCCTCAGGCAGCCCCAAGAGAACTCCAAGACGGTCCAAGGCCTCCCGGACGCCCCGTGACGGCCCAAAATGGCCCTAAGACGTCTCAAAACGCTCCCAGAGCAGCCCAACAAAGCTTCATAATGGCTCGAAAAAGACCCCCACGAGGATCATCAAGCAGGCCCAGAGACGCCCATTCAAAGAGCGATCGGTGAAATACAATGCTCTTCTCACCAAGGCTCCCAAGAGCGAGCCGCAGCGTAGAGAGCTCTCCCAGGCACAGCTCCCAAGAGCGAGCGGTGACTTTTTTCTAGGCCCCAGGTGCTTTCAAACTTGTTCAAACCAGGGGGAGCAGACAAGCGGCGACAGGCACACCGCAGACCCACCATAGCCGTCTGTGACGCTTCGAAGGCTGTCTGGGCGGACGTGGAGCGGAAGGCGGACGAAGAGGAGGAAACGCCCGCCGTCCAATTTCGGAAGGGCGGCCGGAAAAGGTCACCGAAGGCTTCGGGGTGACTTTTTCCTGGGCGGGGACCCAACGTGGAGGCGCGCCAGGGGGACTGGCTGGTCGTGAACGAGGTCCGCGGGTTCGCCCTAGTCTCTACTACATTGCAGGGGCACGTGCGTGCGGGAAGGGCGCAGGCTCAAATGTCTCAAAACCGCCCCGGGCTGGCCCCGGGCCGCCCAGGGCCGCCCAGGCAGGCCCCAGGACATGTCGAGAGGGCCCCCAGAAGCCCCCAAGACGGCCCCGGAGAGCCCCGGCACGCTTAAAGATGGGCCCAAGACGCCCGAGATTCGCCCCAGGCGGCCCAAGAGGCGTCCAAGACGCCCGAAGAGGCCTCCCAAGAGGCCTCCCAAGAGGGCCCCGAGCGACAGAAATCGTCGATTTCTACTATGTTTTTCGATGTTTTCGGCCTCCTCGCCTCGTCGGCTTCCCGACGCTCCAAGACGGCCCAAGAAGCCCCCCCGACCGCTCCAAGACGGCCGAAGAGGACCCCAAGAGAGCCCCAAGACGGGCCAGGAGGGCCCCCAGACGGTCCCAAGACGCCCCAGGACGGCCCCAGGACGGCCCAGGAGGCGCCCAAGACGGCCCAAGAGGCACCCAAGACGGCCCCAGGAGCGGCCCAAGACGGCCCAAGACAGCCCAAGAGGCGCCGAGGCGGGCCTCAGACGGCCCCAAGACGGCCCAAGAGGCACCCAAGACGGCCCGAGAGGGCCCTAAGAGCCCCCCCGGGAGGCCCAAAAGAAGGCCGAAGAGGCTCCGAAACGGCCCCCACGAAGCCTTCAGTGGCTTCAGAATTCCCTCCAGGAGCGGGGGAGCGGACGAGAGGCGACAGGCATATCGCAGGCAAAAACGCCCCAAGAGATCCCCAAACGGCCCCCACGAAGCCTTAAGTAGCCTCAGAATTGCTTCCCAGAACGGCCCAAGAGGTTTCCAAGAGCGCCCCAAGACAGCCCAAGAGGGCCCCAAGACGACCCAAGAGACGCTCAAGACGGCCCACGAGGGCCCGAAGACAGGCCCAAGAGGGGGCCAAGAGGGGGACCACGGCCCCGAAGAGGGCGCCAGGAGGCCCAAACAGGCCCCCAAGAGGCCCCAAGGGGCCGCCAAGAATCCCCCGAAGAGGCCCCAGGAGGCTCCCAAGGAGCCCAAACGAGGCCCCTACAGAGGCCCCAACAGCTTCCAAAATGGCCCCGAAGAGGCCTCGAGCCCGCCTCCGAGCTTCCTCGCCGCGAGGGTGCCAACACGGCCCCAGACCGGCCCAGGACGGCCCAAGGCGCGCTCAAGACGGCCCAAGACGATTCCAAGACGGTCCCAGGAGGGTGCGCCCAGGACGGCCCAAGGACGCGCCCGTTCGGGGCCTCAAGACGGGCCAAGATGGCAAGAGAGTCCCAGCTGGCAAAAATCGTTAATTTTCCATTGTTTACTGTTACACCCTTTGCGTTTCCCGCCGTTTCGGCGGTCCGATGCACCAAGAGGCCCCAGAAAGTCCCAGGAGGGTCCGAGGAACCGCCCAGGAAGGCCCCAAGACGGGCCAAGACGGACCCAGCACAACCCAAGGCGCGCTGCGACGGCTCAAGACGGCTCCAAGACAGCCCCAAGAGGATGCCAACACGGCCCCTGCTGGGCCAAGGACGGCCCAAGGAGGCGCACAGAAGGGGCCCAAGACGACTCCAAGGCGGCCTCCTTACGGTCCCAGACGGCTCCAAGACAGCCCCACGAGGACCCCGATGGGCCCAGGACGGCCTGCGGACGCGCCAAGGAGGGGCCCACGACGAACCAAGACGGCCCCATCAGGGCAAACGGCGCCCTCAAGACGGGCCTAGACGGCTCCAAGACGGCCCTTTGAGGGAGCCAACGCGGCCCCACACCCTTCGGGCGCACACTTGGGGGGGCTGGGAGCTTGCGACAAGTCTCCCACATTCATTGTCCTGCCCCATTCTGTTCGCCTGGAGGCCTCCTCCAACCCTGTGGGCGAACAAGAGGAATCCCAGCGGGACGCCAACCCTGGGGCCCGTGGGCCCCGCGCCGCTTGGGCAGAAGACGAACGCCGGGTCTGACAGGCCAGCTACCGCCCCCCTTTGCCCGATATGCTGTGCCATTCTGTTCCCCCAGGGGCCTTGGCAAACTCTTCGGGCCAAGCAGACCGGACCCCTGGGACAGCAGCCAATTGATATGACCCTGGGACCTCTCCGCATTCTTCGGACGAGCATCTGGGGGGCCCAGGAGATTCGGACATGTCTTCCCCATTCCTTGCCCTGTCCCGTTCTGTTCGCCCGAAGGCCTCCACAGACCCTCTGGGCGAACAGAATGGGACATGGCGAACAAACCCTCCCGTTGGCGGTGATGCGACTGGATCGCACCATCAAGGCGCGCCCGGAGGAGATGGCCGACCCAACAGCGGTTTCTCTTAAGAGTTCACTGGATTTCAAATTGTTGACGCTTCGCGTATCCCCACCAGCCCATCCAGAAACGATGCTCAGGGGAGTTGAGGTGATCAGGGAAGTCGGGGAGCATGCAGAATAACAAAGGGCGGGGGAAGCTGTCACAGACCCCGAGAGGGGGAGGATGGAAGAGGAGTCGTCGTCGTCGTCGTCGTCGTCGGAGGAGGAGGAGGAGGAGGAGGAGGGGGAAGAGGAGGAGGAGGAGGAGGAGGAGGAGGACGGAGAAGGAGGAAGAATCGGAGGAGGAGGAGGAGGAGGGGAAGGAGCTTCTTGGGGGTCTTTTGAGGGCCTCTTGGAGGGCTTTTTGGGCGCCTTGGGGCATCTTGGGCGCCTCTTGGGACCCTCTTGAGGCGCTCTGGGGAGCCTTCGGGGCGCTTTTGGGGCCATCTTGGAGGGAGTCGATCAAACAAGAGGGGGGGTTTAATTAGCGCCCCCCCTCGGAAGCCCCTAAAATCGCCTCTTGGACCCCTCTTGGAACGCTCTTGGAGTGCTCTTGGGCGCTCTTGGGGCCGTCTTGGGGCTCTTTTGGGGCTCTCTTGGGGCCCTCTTGGGCCATCTTGGAGCCATCTCCAGGCCTCGGATGGCCATCGGAAGCGAAAAGGCGAGAAAGCAAAAATCATTGATTTTCCTTAGGTTTTGGGACGATTTTGGCCTCTTCGGGGCCTCCTTGGGGAGCTGTTTGGCCACTTGGAGTTATCTTGGGGCCGTCTTTGGGCTTCTTGGAACCATCTTAGGAGCCATCGTGAGCGATCTTGCGCTATCTTGAGCCATCTTGGAGCTCATCTTGGGTTCTCTGAGGCGCTCTTGGAGCCGTCTTGGGCCATCTTGGACGCTCTAACTACCCGCGGCCCCCCCCGTCCAGGTCCAGGGGAGGGGGTAGGGGGAGGGGTAAACCCCTCCCCAAGGGGGAAGAGGGAGGGGTGGAAGAGGATCTGCTCTAGACCACCTACGCCCAGAGGGCTGGTGGGATTTTCTTGAAGCTCTCTTGGGCCCTCCCTGTAGATCCTTGCGAGCCTCCCCGGCGCTTTCGGTGGCTTTCCCCGATGGCCTCCCGAGCCCTTCCCCGAGCGCTCCTGAGACGCCTCAGATGGGCTTCGACTTCGACGCACATCCCCGAGAGACTTCGAAACTGTCCTCAATAGGAGGGGGGTGAACGAGCAGTGCGCTGGGCCAAGCTGCTGCAGCGCTGCAAGAGCTCGGACACGAAGGCGCGGTCTCGCTGCCGCCGCCCGAGCCGCCGCCGTGTTTGTAGATTTTCGGTACAATCTGCGCCGTTCCTCCGAGAACCATTCCAGAAAGATGTCGTGGACGGAGTCCACGGGTCAGCCCTAGTCAGCTACAGTGCTGGGATCAGTGCGTGCGAGAAGGGCGAGCAGTGGCAGCGGGCCTTGGCGCTGCTGAGCGAGATGTGGGAGGCGAAGCTTGAGCCCAACGTCATCAGCTACAGCGCTGGGATCAGCGCGTGCGAGAAGGGCGAGCAGTGGCAGGCGGCCCTGGCGCTGCTGAGCGAGATGTGTGAGGCGAAGCTGGAGCCAAGCGTCATCAGCTACAGTGCTGGGCTCAGTGCGTGCGAGAAGGGCGAGCAGTGGCAGCGGGCCCTGGCGTTGCTGAGCGAGATGTGGGAGGCAAAGCTTGAGCCCAACGTCATCAGCTACAGTGCTGGGCTTAGTGCGTGCGAGAAGGGCGAGCAGTGGCAGCGGGCCCTGGCGCTGCTGAGCGAGATGTGTGAGGCAAAGCTTGAACCCGACGTCATCAGCTACAGTGCTGGCATCAGTGCGTGCGAGAAGGGCGAGCAGTGGCAGCGGGCCCTGGCGCTGCTGAGCGAAATGCGGGAGGCAATTCTTGAGCCCAACGTCATTAGCTACAGTGCTGGGATCAGTGCGTGCGAGAGGGGCGAGCAGTGGCAGCGGGCCCTGGCGTTGCTGAGCGAGATGTGGGAGGTGAGGCTAGAGCCCAGCGTCATCTATACTACAATGCCGGGGGCCGTGCGTGCCAGAATGCCGCAGGATCAATGAAGTCAAAACCGCCCCGGGCTGGCCCCAGGCCGCCCAGGGACGCCCAGGGAGGCTCCAAGACATGCCAAGAGGGCCCCAAGAGGCCCAAGTCGGCCCGAGAGGTCTCCAAGGTGCTCCATGAGACCTCCCCAGAAGCTTCCCCAGCGGGCCCCGAGCAAGAACACACATAGATGTTCCTTGCCTTTTGCAGGGTTTTTGCCGTTCTCGCCTTGTCGGCTTCCAGACGATCCACGACCGCCCAAGACGTCCCCAAGACGGCTCCAAGACGGCCGAAGAGGACCCCAAGAGAGCCCCAAGACGGGCCCAAGAGCCCCCAAGTCGGCTCAACAGGCCCCCAGGTGGGCCCCAGACGCTCGAGATTGGCCCAAGACTGGCCCAAGCCGGCCCGAGAGGCCTCCAAGGTGCTCGATGAGACGTCCCCAGAACCTTCCCCAGAGAGCCCCGAGCACAATAAAAACATACATGTCCATTCCTTTTTGCACGGTTTTTGCCGTGCTCGCCTTGTGGCTTCCAGACGATCCAACAACGCCCAAGAGGTTCCCAAGACGGCTCCCACACGGCCGAAGAGGCTTCAAAGAGAGCCCGAAGATGGGCCCAGAGGACCCTCCAGTCCGCTCAGCAGGCCCCCAGATGGGCCCCAGACGCTCAAGATTGGTCCAAGATTGGCCCAAGCCGGCCCGAGAGGTCTCCAAGGTGCTCCATGAGACCTCCCCAGAGCTTCCCAAAGGGCCCCGAGCAAGATCAACCATAGATGTTCATTGTTTTTTACATGGTATTGGCCGTACTCGCCTTGTCGGCTTCCACACGATCCACGACCGCCAAAGAGGTTCCCAAGACGGCTCCAAGACGGCCGAAGAGGCCCCCAAGAGAACCCCAAGACGAGCCCAGAGGGCCCCATGACGGCCCCACAGGCGGCCAGGATGGCCCAGGAGGCGGCCAGGAGAGCGCAAATTGCCGCCAAGACGGTTTCAGGAGAGGCCCAACAGAGCCAGGAGGCCCCAAGAAGCTTCCAGGACGCCCCAGAAAGCCCGCGACGGGTTCCGGCAGACCCCCAAGGGGCGCTCAAGAGATCCTAACAGGTCCCCGAACGGCTCCCAGGAGCCACTACGAGCCATCCGACAGAGGTGCTCATCAGAGGCGAAAGGCAACTCTCAGACCCAACGGAACCGTCGTGGACGACACTGCGAGGGCTTTGGATATTTGTTTTTTCCGCAGCTTCTGCGTCGCCTCGATGGCCAATATTGAAGCCATGTGGGGCCGTCCACGGCCCCCCACCCCCACGCTCACCCCGGGCGTGCCAGAGGCATTCTGCCACATAGGGGCCTTCCGTGGCAGAATGATGGGCCCGCGCCCGGCGGCGTCCTCGGTGCCTCGGGGTCGCTTTTGGGGCTCTCCTGAAGCTCCCCTTGCCCGATATGCTGTGCTATTCTGTTCCCCCAGGGGCCTTGGCAAACTCTTCGAGCCAACCAGACTGGACTCCTGGGACAGCAGCCAATTGATATGACCCAAGGACCTCTCCGCACTCTTCGGACGAGCACCTGGGGGGCCCAGGGGATTCGGACAAGTCTCCCCCATTCCTTGCCCTGTCCCGTTCTGTTCGCCTGGAGGCCTCCACAGACCCTCTGGGCGAACGGAATGGGACAGGGCGAACACACCCTCCCGTTGGCGGAGTGTGAGTGAGGCCACTGCACCGAGTGACTTCCGGCAGCTCCGAGCCGCCGAAGAGGGCGTCCCGACGGTCCCGCGACGGCTCCGAGACGCTCCAGAGGCCGCCCCGACGGCCCAAAGACGGCTCCAAACTGCTCCAGAGGGCGCCACGACGGCCCCAAGACGGCTCCGAACCGCTCCAGGGGCCACCCCGACGGCCCCAGCGGCGCTCCCCGCTCCGACGACCCCAAGGGCCCCCCAGGACAGGCCAGGAGCCTCCAAAGACGGCCCTCGAGGATTCCACAGGACAGCCCCGAGGCGCGCAAATCGCCCCAGTCCCGTCGGGAAACTTCTAGTTGTTGCATTCTCGTGCTCTTCGTCTCCGACGCGTCCACGACGGCCACAGCCCCCCACGATCGGCCCAAGATGCCCACATCAGGGCTCCAAGACGAAGAAAGACAGCCCCAAAGAAACCAGCCCCAAGAGCCGCCCAAGACGGTCCAAGACGGCCCCATACCGCCCAAGAGGTGCCCATGACGGCCCAAGGCAGTTCCGAGACGGCCCCGACGAGAGCCCAAGAGGGCCTCCAGAGGCCCCCTCGAATCCGAGGGGCTGACCGTCATGTGGATAGTTTTTCGGCAGCATTCCCACCGCTCCCCCGGGAATGCTCTCGGCCACATGTCGTGGACGGAGTCCACGGGTCAGCCCTAGTCTCTACTACATTGCAGGGCCCAGTGCGTGCCAGAAGGGCGCAGGCTCAAATAACTCAAAACCGCCCCGGGCTGGCCCCGGGCCGCCCCGGGCCGCCCAGGCAGGCCCCAGGACATGTCGAGAGGGCCCCCAGAAGCCCCCAAGACGGCCCCGGAGAGCCCCGGCACGCTTAAAGATGGGCCCAAGACGCCCGAGATTCGCCCCAGGCGGCCCAAGAGGCGTCCAAGACGCCCGAAGAGGCCTCCCAAGAGGCCTCCCAAGAGGGCCCCGAGCGACAGAAATCGTCGATTTCTATTGTGTTTTTCGATGTTTTCGGCCTCCTCGCCTCTTCGGCTTCCCGACGCTCCAAGACGGCCCAAGAAGCCCCCCCGACCGCTCCAAGACGGCCGAAGAGGACCCCAAGAGAGCCCCAAGACGGGCCAGGAGGGCCCCCAGACGGTCCCAAGACGCCCCAGGACGGCCCCAGGACGGCCCAGGAGGCGCCCAAGACGGCCCAAGAGGCACCCAAGACGGCCCCAGGAGCGGCCCAAGACGGCCCAAGACAGCCCAAGAGGCGCCGAGGCGGGTCTCAGACGGCCCCAAGACGGCCCAAGAGGCACCCAAGACGGCCCGAGAGGGCCCTAAGAGCCCCCCCGGGAGGCCCAAAAGAAGGCCGAAGAGGCTCCGAAACGGCCCCCACGAAGCCTTCAGTGCCTTCAGAATTCCCTCCAGGAGCGGGGGAGCGGACGAGAGGCGACAGGCATATCGCAGGCAAAAACGCCCCAAGAGATCCCCAAACGGCCCCCACGAAGCCCTAAGTGGCCTCAGAATTGCTTCCAGGAGGGGGGGAGCGGACGAGAGGCGACCGGCATATCGAAGGCACAAAAGAACAATGTTGGACGCTCCGAGGGCCTTCGATGTTTCTCTGTTGGGGAGAGTCGTCGTAGGATCGACGATTGCCGACCGAGGGCAGCGAATCCAGTGGAGGCCCAAGAGGCCCCCAGGAGCCCAAAAGAGATCCCCAAGAGGTGCCACGGGGCTTAAAAACTGCTTCGAAGCGAGGGGGGCGGACGAGGGGACCGCCTCAGGAGGTTTTGGATGGTTTTGGGCCTCAAAATCGTCCGCTTCACGACGGTTTTGGAAGGATTTTGGCCTTCTCGCCTTTTCCGCTTTCCGACGCTCGAAGACGGCCCAAGAGGCCTCCAAGAGCGCCCCAGAACGACCCAAGAGGTTTCCAAGAGCGCCCCAAGACAGCCCAAGAGGGCCCCAAGACGACCCAAGAGACGCTCAAGACGGCCCACGAGGGCCCGAAGACAGGCCCAAGAGGGGGCCAAGAGGGGGACCACGGACCGAAAATCCGAGCCTTCCGCCCCAAGAGGGCGCCAGGAGGCCCAAAGAGGCCCCCAAGAGGCCCCAAGGGGCCGCCAAGAATCCTCCGAAGAGGCCCCAGGAGGCTCCCAAGGAGCCCAAACGAGGCCCCTAGGCCTCGAGCCCGCCTCCGAGCTTCCTCGCCGCGAGGGTGCCAACACGGCCCCAGACCGGCCCAGGACGGCCCAAGGCGCGCTCAAGACGGCCCAAGATTGTTCCAAGACGGTCCCAGGAGGGTGCGCCTAGGACGGCCCAAGGACGCGCCCGTTCGGGGCCTCAAGACGGGCCAAGATGGCAAGAGAGTCCCAGCTGGCAAAAATCGTTAATTTTCTATTGTTTACTGTTACACCCTTTGCGTTTCCCGCCGTTTCGGCGGTCCGATGCACCAAGAGGCCCCAGAAAGTCCCAGGAGGGTCCGAGGAACCGCCCAGGAAGGCCCCAAGACGGGCCAAGACGGACCCAGCACAACCCAAAGGCGCGCTGCGACGGCTCAAGACGGCTCCAAGACAGCCCCAAGAGGGTGCCAACACGGCCCCTGCTGGGCCCAGGACGGCCCAAGGAGGCGCACAGGAGGGGCCCAAGACGACTCCAAGGCGGCCCCCTCACGGTCCCAGACGGCTCCAAGACAGCCCCACGAGGACCCCGATGGGCCCAGGACGGCCTACGGACGCGCCCATGAGGGGCCCACGACGAACCAAGACGGCCCCATCAGGGCAAACGGCGCCCTCAAGACGGGCCTAGACGGCTCCAAGACGGCCCTTTGAGGGAGCCAACGCGGCCCCACATTCTTCGGGCGCACACTTGGGGGGGCTGGGAGCTTGCGACAAGTCTCCCACATTCACTGTCCTGCCCCATTCTGTTCGCCTGGAGGCCTCCTCCAACCCTGTGGGCGAACAAGAGGAATCCCAGCGGGACGCCAACCCTGGGGCCCGTGGGCCCCGCGCCGCTAGGGCAGAAGACGAACGCCGGGTCTGACAGGCCAGCTACCGCCCCCCTTTGCCCGATATGCTGTGCCATTCTGTTCCCCCAGGGGCCTTGGCAAACTCTTCGGGCCAAGCAGACCGGACCCCTGGGACAGCAGCCAATTGATATGACCATGGGACCTCTCCGCATTCTTCGGACGAGCACCTCCGGGGCCCAGGAGATTCGGACAAGTCTTCCCCATTCCTT